TACTTGCTACACTGAGCATTGCTGCTGGCATACAGGTAATAACAAGTTGTAAGCATGAATGGTTTCTTAGGTGTGCTTTGGAATCATTAGTAATAACTGGCTCCCCGGTGGCAACTGAGGATCGAATTCAAGCGGGTCCACCGGTCCCTCACCACCAGTGTATCCATGCGAACTGGCCTCCGTCCGCCTACCTCAAGGGGCGCTCCTCACCTCCTTGCCCGACCAACCTTGCTCCGCAACTCCAACGCTCCTCAGACCAGGACTAAGCTCCGCTTACTATGCCGGAGACGGCCTTCTGCTCGGGGCTGCCCCCGTCGGGTGGAACGCTCTCCCCGACACGCTGGAGAGGGCACCACAGGACCGGTGGAGTTCTAGACAAGGCCCTCATAACCCCACTGTTCAATAGAGCCTTTCCCTAGCATCTCTTATTTATTATTACCCCTTTTTTATTTTTTATTGTTTGTTTTTTATTGCTTTTTATTCCATTCTACCGCTGTTGTGTACTGTTTTTATCTGGTATCATGCCTCATCGAAGTCAAATATTATATGAAGTGCTTTTCATAAATTGAAACCCAATTATGTTTTTAGTAATTGCATTTTAATAATTGCAAATTAGACCATTAAAATAAACCTGTCCTGCAGATGGACAGGGTTGCCTTATGGCCCTCCTCAGCCGTGGCCCCAGGTGTCTCGATGCTCAGGCGTCACTTGGGGAGTAGCATTGAATACTCACCAAAGGCCCATCACTAACAGGGAGGCCAGCGGCCACCGTTTTTTTTTATATAGAGAAGGAGAAGGCGAGCCAGCAGCCCCAGGCCAAGTTGGAAGCCGACAGCAGCTGTCCTTTTTGTTCACAGGGGGAATCCCACCTGAGGACGCAGCCACGAGGCTTTAAATCTCTCTTATCAGGGACCACCTTTTGTCAGCCCCACCCCCTGCTGACTATCAACTACTGCACCTGTCACATGATTGCGTTTTCTTAAGGCGTGGTCTGCCTCACGGATGTACAGTTTGCAAGTGTACAGTTAATCTGCAGGGTAAAATTTGATCCGCTGACAAGGACCGACATGCTTTCCTGAATATCACTTTTTCTTATGCAATGAAGTCTTTTTAGAGAAGGGAAGGATGAAGTTAACTTCCCCTGCTAAGGTTATAACAGCCTCAGATACGATTATGTTCTTTTTTCACAAAAGGCCAACCGAATTCAATGTTATTTCATGTTTGGAGCAACTTACTATTCCAACAAGTCCTCCAACTCATACGACCAAATGCGGCGATTGCTTTCAAGCGCTTAATACGCTGCTATAATTACGGTTTGAAAGTTTTCGCCCTCTAGTGCTCCCGTTGATACAAACGTTACAGATGGGTCGGTTTTTCACAAATAAACCCTCTCTGTAAAGATCCTGAATTGGGCGATGGTTTGGCCATTAAACGCTTTCTGATTTAGATTTCTAGGCGAGAAGTGCTATATTGCTACTTTTAGAATCCACGTGCAGTCGTATGTAGGATGATTGATTGGTAGGATGTTTGGATATTGTAGGGATGATTTGACTTATGTAGGGGATGATTGCGACTATGTAGGGTATGATTTTGAGGGTATGCCCGGCCCAGCCTCCATGTAAAGTTACGGGCGGTTGAAAACAGTAATTCCTCGGCTCTCTACGTTTCATAATAAAACCAAATGATCATTTTTTACATATTAGCATGTGTTATCAGTAACCATTTATTTACGTAAAATAAATTATCCAAGGGTCTTACTCAGTCTGCCCTCCAGGTTTAATTGTACTGCCCTTTATTTTGAATAGCCAAAAGCAAATTATCTAAAGTGGGAGATGAAGCGCTTCACACTTAATCAAAGAGTGCTAGCATCTACAGAAAGTAACTACTCTATATATAAACCCTTACATTTTAATGCACAGCCAGTGGTTGGTGATGACGGTGCTGATAAATGCGCAATTAGAACCTGTTGCATATTTTTCTTTAGATCTGTTCATCTTGTTGAAGGCCTGCGGGCTTACAACTGTTCATAAATTATCAAAATATTCTATTCCTGAGTGGAGCTAAGTAGAATCAACCAGGAGGTACACTAAGCATTAGGATACCACTCCCACTTAAACAGTAGAAGTAAAACACATGGTCGCAACACAAGGGGTGCCGACAACAAAATCCCATTGTAGCCGGGCCAGCCTATGCCACAACGTCAATGCCAAATAAACACCACACGGGGCCGGGCTAGGAGCTGCTCTCCACCCAGGGCGGCCTCCAAGCTGAAATTCTTTTGGTCAACAGAGCCTTCAGCTGTCGCAGCCCCCACCCTCTGATATCAGGAATGCCGGACTATCTTGCGACACTTTTCAAACAACACTCACACACCATCTGTTCACTCAGGCCTTTCTGGGCCTCAGTTAAATGCAGAACCCAGCAACCTTGTTATTTTTTTTCAAACTCTGTATCGTGTGTAATTATTATTTTTTATTGTTTTGTTTCCCATGTAACGAGCGTCCTTTTGGGGTTCTCTAAAAGGCGCTGATTAAAAATTGAAATTTTAATTAAGTCATTCATTATTAATAGCTCACATCTTTACTCTTTCGTACCACTTTTAGATCCGCGCGCAGGGGGGCCGGGTGGGGGGGGGGGGTGGTGTTGCTCGTAAGTTTACCAAACAAATCATGCCATTGCAGCATTACCCATAATCCCCTCTGTTTCAGCCCTGGCTTTTTCCAAAGCTGCAGATTCTCCTGTCTGTTACGTTTAGATGAAAATTAGGCAGGGCCCTTTCCCCACACCCCTCTGGAGGAGACATGTTGGCTTTACAAAGGAACTCAATGGCTGCTTTATAGGAGGGAGATTCAGGTGATAAGGGGAGGGGTACCTTGGTTTGCTGATGGCCTAATGGCTTACACAAGACAAACATGTTATGCGTCTACAAGTGGGGCCAGAATCTGATCAGCTCCTTTCAGCGGGTTCCCTACCTATAGAATGGATCCAAAGACGGGCGTTTACGGGGGGTCCGGGGCATGCTCCTCCGGGAAGATTTTTTTTTTAAATATTGAAGTTGAAAGCATCAATCTGGTGCACTTTGAGAGCAACATTAACCCCACCTTAATAATACCTTAAAGCGGACAAAAGGCACTGGAGAACACTTCTTCATTAACATCCTTTAATGAAGCAAACTAATGCCTTAACTCACTCAAATACAGTCGTTTACTTATTTCGGTGAAACGAATGTGCGTAGAGTTTGAAAGGATGCGGATAGTCTCACCTTGATTCTGGCACATTGCTTATGGTTTTATAGATCTATTCTCATCCACCATCTTTGTTTGTGACGTAAAGAGTGTAAGAGTCACGTTTCTAAATCGGACACTCTAAGTGGATGCAGTCACAGCCAATCGGAGTCTGATTCAGAGGGTTGCCTGTCAGTTCCGTTGCTATGGTTCCGTTGTTATGTGTACTGAAACGAGAGCCGGTATAATTCCACGCGCGAAAACAAAATACAATTTGGAATACGTTATTTTAGTGCAGGGGTGGGGAACCTCTGGCCTCCGGGCCGTATACGGCCCGCGAGACCATTTGATACGGCCCTCGAGGTCATTTATAAACACACGCAAAAAAAAAGAATTTAAGAAGTGGTATATGTCTCGTCTGACAGGGGTGCAGTTATGCCGGAGAGCACCGGAACGCGGCTCCGGCACTTCAGAAATGGCAGTACCCATAAAGAGCCGCACACATGCTGCAGTTTGTGCGTGGCTGTGTCTTTAGTTGTAAGCCCAGTGGCGATCTGTTCATCTGTCATACTGATCATACAGTCAATCACTTCGTTGTTATTAGCATCTGGTTAGCTAGCTATGCTAACAAATATAAGAAGCTTTTTCTCCAACCAGTGAGGTAAAGGCAAAATACGTGCCATCAATGTTGTGAATGACTGTGCCGAGCGTGGCGTCAAACTCATCTCAGACTTTGTGGCAGGGCAGGAGCGAGGAGCACCTGCAGAATGTGCTGCAGGCAGTTGAGCATGAACGCTCTCAAGAGCCAAATCTGCGCCACTGCAAGCGCAAGCTGGACCAGGACTAAGACTCAATTTCAATGTTGTTATTTTTGTTCTTAAATAAATAAATGTTGTTCTATTAAAAATGAATGTTCGCAAAAACAAATTCTTGCATTTTTAGAAATTGCCTAGGAAAACACCCAAACGGCCAATTTTCATATTTTTCACCTGCTGTGTTCCACCTCTAAATCTCAATGAATGTTCCCAAAACTTTGCAAAAGTTATTTTTATGTGTGTCTGAACAAAATGCAACCCCAGACAGTTTGACATGTTCAGATTTAATTGTTGCATTGCAATTTGATGCACCCTGTCTGTGTGTGTGAGCCTCTCCAACAAGTAACAAAAAGAGTGTCCTGAGATTTCCTTCTCCCCCATCCATCAGAAGTGAAAGGCATAAAACAAGGGGGCCTTGCTTTTTAAGTGCTTCTGTGCGACTCGTGTCTTTAAAGCGTCTCTGTACAGAAAGTGTCAGAGTTCATCCGATCCAGAAGTCAGGCGTTGCTAAGGAAAACAAACATGGCTCTTTATTCCAGAGGGATAACTCAGAGAGGCCGAGCTTCCCGGAAGCTGAGGCCAATCGTTATCTGGGGGAGACGGGGGGGCTTGAGAAGACTCCGGAGCTGCGGGGGGACTGGAGGCTGAAGGAGCGCGAGGGGGAGGTGGAGGTGGGGGACACCTTGCGGGGGCTGCTCAGGTCTCCGTTGTGCAGCTTCCACATCAGCTCCTCGTTCTCCATGGACAGACGCTTGTTCACCTTGGACTCCTTGGTGAGGGACTCCTGCAGCACCGCCTGCTCCGTGGACAGCTGTCTGAGACGCACACATACACAGAGGACACGTTAGACAGGCTCAAACATTTAAAGATGTGAAGTTGATCGTTTTTCCCCCCCAAATCTTATAAGATCCAAATAAACAACACATTAATCTGTCTCTCAATAATGACTGATTTCCTTTTCCTGTTGGTTGCTCCCAGCCACAGACCCATTGGTTGCTACTGAATATGTACAGGTAATTCAAGCATTACTCAGTGCAGTAAATAGTGCTTTTGTTGTAGACATAGTCCACAATGAACTACAATGCCCATATTCCACGAGGGAACCAGTGTATTTTTTTTATTAACCGATGTGCGTCCTTAACTGACATTTTAAAATGCCCTTTAGAGGTGTCCTCTGTGCTTAGAAAAAAAATCTCAAGAAATCTTCAAAATTGGTCAAACTATTAGGCTGGTTTTATTTTGTAAAGCGGCTGTATTTCAGAAACTACGATAATCACAACAAATATCTATTAACTTAAAAGGTGAATATCAAAGATAGACACATATATGCAACGTCAAAAAACTATTGCAATTGGAAAACATTTAGTTAAAGTAATGTTTACAGTTTTCGAAGTTTTTCTAAAGTCTTGATTTTTACTATGATAAGTGTGTTTTTTAATGTGTTCTTAAGTTTTATAGTAATAAGTGTTATATACCAGACTAATGCCAGTACCAGATGTCAAGACTTTAGATCAATCAGAGAAAATGTGTGGCTTTTTTCGATATCATACTAAATATAGTACTTGCAGAATAAAAGGTAAATCGTTTTTTGAAAATAATGCAACTATGATAATGTAATACATGGCACAGCCACTGTGAGCTGTTACCTGGACAGAGCGTAGTGTCTCTCCATTCGAGCCTTTAGGTCCTCATTCTCCTGCTGGACCTTCTGCAGGCTCTCATCCAGCTTCACACTCTTCTCCGTCTAGAAAGACAATAAAACTAAAATAACTCAACCATTCTTCTGGTTGTTAAATGTCGGTTGCTCTTCCTCCTGATCATGTGCCTCACCAGTTTGCCGATCTCCATTAGCTTTTTCTCCTGCTGGTGCAGCTGCTTGTTTTTTATATCCAGCACCACTTTGAGGCTCTCCAGCTCCTGCTCTAGATAAAGGGTGTGGGAGTCCTTCTGCAGGGACAGAGAACAAGAGATGTTCAGGGAATACCAGAAAAATGAGTACAGCCAGGGTTGTTCATTTTATGTGGACATAAATCCAGAAACACACAACAGAGGGCGCCATGCATCAGGGACAACAAAGCTCTGGATGTTTAGCTGTCATAGCGAAGGTAGTGTTTAAACTCTGTCCTTTTTAAGAACAAGGTGATATTGAGCTGTTGCTTATCATGCTGTATGCATGCATGTATGCTCTCATCTTGTCCTATAAATAGTGGGCAGGCTAATGTGAGGTGTGATGCCCCTGTGGGTTCATCTTGAGAGGGTGTGGCTGTGCTGCATCCAGCCACACCCTCTCAAGCAATCCTCACCCTGCCGTTACATTACTGATACCACTGACGTTCACAACTCATGCTTTACTTGTTTTGCACTTGATTCATTTGGCTAATTTGAACCACTTACTTTATTCCTTTGGCTGATTTGAACCACTTACTTTAATAAACATATTTTGTTAAATTGTTGATATGGTGTGTCTCCTTTTTGTTGTGGCCTTTTGAGCCAGGTCATAACAGAGGTAGTAACATTAATGACTCTACTGTGCCAGAGCAGAAAGATGAGCAGCGACTTTACTTTGATGAAGAGCGGCATCCTCGCCAAACTGCACTCTGGGAAAATATTAATCTACACTCGCGGGAGAGGTGTAAGAGTTTAACCCACTCCTGTTCACGCTGTTAAAGAATGATTCATGATTAAAAGCAACAACTCTTAACCGCTAGGTTTTTGAACCCGTGTGCCTCACTGAGTGATGTCCTCAGGGGACAACATTTATTATTTTTCACTTTCATGTAGTATATTTTTAATAGTGCTGGCCATAACAACAGAAGCATTTCAACCCTTTAAATGCCCATTTGTTCCCATAATCCCAACAATTAAAGAATCGTCTGCTTGGGGGGATTTCTTTTTCAGTCTGGCAAAAGTCAGTGATAAGCACCGTCCTTCATTTGGATGGATTTCTCTGTGGAAGAAACTAGCATTTATTTTTTTCAATATGGGCAACGTGAACAAAAGTTGTGGAAAATAGTAAAAAAAAAAAAATACATATTTTAGATTCATAATATAAAGCTTGCTATAAGAGACTGAATGATTTTATGTTGTGGCATTTCATATGTTGTGTTTTGGGGG